AGCGACGCCGGTCCCCCGGGGGTCCCCCAACTCCTTTCGTGTTATTTTTATTCAGCGCACGGCGCCTGCTCTGCCCGCCGGCCCGGGGCCCAGGGATGGCGGGGGTCGCCCAGCCGCCCGCTTCCCCTCAGCCGCCCCCGCCGGGCGCGCAGTGCGGTTCCGCGCCCTCTCCTCCGTCACACTCCCCGTGGGCGCGGCAGCCCGGGGCCGCGGCCCTGCCGAGCCCGAGGACAGGGCACCGCGGCGGGAGGCGGCAGAGGCTCCGCACAGGCCGCCGGGCCCCAGGCCGCGGGGCGGAGGCGGCAGTACCCACACCCCCTCCGCCAGGCCGGAAAGGCGACCACCGAGCGCGCGCCGGCCGCAACGGCCCCGGCCCTGCTATTGGCCAACCGAAACCCCGCCCGCCGGCTGTGCCCGCGAGAGCAGAGCGGCCGTTGGGGGTAGGCGCGTGCGCAGCGACGGCGGGGCGTTCCCGCGCGCCTCCATCCGGTGTGAGGAACGCCGGGGCGGAACTGCGGCGGGGTGTGGGAGTGTTGGCGCAGCCGCGTTGGTTTTGCGTGTGCTTCTGCCGTTGTGTTTAAACCGGCTGCGGGCTCTCGCCGTGCGGCGGAGGGAGGTGTTACGGATGTGGCGGGGCCGGGAGCTGGTGCCGTGCGGCTTCTCTGCTGAGCCGGCCAGCGGGGGAGGCCTGGTGCTTCTCCCTGCCTCTGGCAGAGTCCCTGCCTGTGAACCCTGCGACTAGTTTCAGTCACATCTGAAAGGGGTGGAGACCTCAAAGCTGGCAGAGTTCGTGAGGAGTGTAAGCATCTAGCTAGGGGAGAGCAAGGGAGTCTGGATATTTGCATCAGTGCACCAGCAATCTGTGCTTACAGCCCACAAAGCCAACCATATTCTGGGCCGCATCATAAGAAATGCGGCCAGAAGGTCGAGGGAAATGATTCTCCCCCTCTACTCCGTTCTCTGGAGACCTCACCTGGAGTAATGCATTCAACTCAGCGCAAAAGGGTTGTGGACCTGTTGGAGCTAGTCCAGAGGAGGGCCAGGAAGACGATAAGAGGGCTGGAGCACCTCTTCTGTGAAGACAGGCTGAGAGAGTTGGGGTTGTTCAGCCTGGAGAAGAGAAGGCTTCAGGGAGACCTTATAGCAGCCTTCCAGTACCTAAAGGGGGCTACAGGAGAGATGGGGAGGGACTCTTTATCAGGGAGTGCAGTGATAGGACGAGGGGTAAGTTTTAAACTGAAAGAAGGGAGATCTAATCTAAATCTTAAGAGGCAATTTTTTCACTATGAGGGTGGTGAGACACTGGAACAGGTTGCCCAGAGGAGTTGTGGGTGCCCCATCCCTGGAGGTGTTCAAGGCCAGGCTGGATGTCCGGCCTGGTCTAATTGAAGGTGTCCCTGCCCACGGCAGGGGGGTTGGAACCCAATGATGTTTAGAGTCCCTTCCAACCCAAACCATTCTGTGATTCTATGATCAATGGACAGAGTAGGAGCTCAGCCATCATCCGGTGCAACCTAGCAGTACCTGGAATAACATTCAAGTAACATTGATCTTTTTTTTTCTCTCTAAGTAAGTGACAAGTGTCTTTTTAATGTCTGCAAACTCTTAGGACCTGTAAGGGTTTGTGGTATAAATACACTGGGCCTGATTTACTATTGGTACAAATCCAGACAAGCATACACAGGATCTAGGTACACACCCTGCACCTGAGTAAGACAGGCTTGTCATCCAAATAAGGTGCTGAAGACAGAAGAAGTAGCGGAGGGAAAATGTAGCAAGACTCTCTTCAGAAGTCTTTCAAAGGAAATTTCCATAAAGCAGGAATAGAAAAGTAATGATGAAATAAGAGTGAAACCTGAGACAACAATGAATCGAAAGTAAAACAAATTACGTTCTACACAAGAAGCCTCCAACTGAAAGAAGTTCCACTGAGCAGAACGCTGTAGCATATCTCAGCATTACAACCAGCTGAGGGTGTGATTTAAATTACAGGGTATTTCAGGCTGGGAAAGTACCCCTGGAGATGTTTGGCTTTCTTTTAAAAGCAGGGCATTAAATCAAGGGCCCTGTTAAATCAAGTCTTGAATATTTCTATTAAGAAAACTCCCACTGCTTCTCTGGGAAATGTATTTCAGTGTCTAATTGGTTTTACAGTTGAGAATTATTTTTTTTCTGATACCTGAAGAAACATGTTCCAATTACCCTTGTCCCGTAAGCACCTGTGAAGACCAGGCTGGATTCTCTAGGTTGAATAAACCTGGGCCCTTCAAACATGTGCCACGCTCTCCAATCCTGGAAGCAGCATGTTGACCCTCCACTAGCGCTTCTCTGGTTTTTCACTCTCTCCCTTGAATGGTCCTGGACCAAAACTGAACACAGTAATCCAGGTGTTCTCTATTTACTCTGTCATTTTGCAACAAAACATGAAATTGAGTCAAGGGTCTGTTGCTGTACCTCAGAATCACACTCAGCTGCCCTAAAACCCTATGATGGAAACCAAGCCTGCACCTGAAGCTCAATGACATCTACCACACGGCTGAAACCACATCTGAGGCAGAGGCTGTCCCAACAATCTCAGACCATCCACAACCCCCTCTGGGAAGTTTATGGCAGGCATGACAGCCTCCTGCTCTGCATGCGAGGTGCAATCCTTCAAACTGGGGGAAAAGAGAAAAAGGCACAAAAGCAATCTTTAAAAGACACACCCAAAGTAAACCTTTACAATATACAAGTGGGCTTTGCTGCCCCGATGGCTTTTTGCGGACCACCCCGAGCACCTGGAGCCCCCACCGCCTCCTCCCTCCGCCGGTGCGTGCGGGGGAAGTGCCGGGACCGCCCGGCCCCAGAACCTCGGGAGCTGCCCCGGGCCGGTACCCTGCAGCTCACGGTCGCTTTTTTTTTTCGACTCCTAGTTGCTGTTACAAGTTTCTCTTTAAATATCCAGGAACCGAAAACGAAAGCGGCTTCGGGGCTGCGATAAAGCGGGGCCGGGCTCGGGCAGGCGGGGAAGTCGGGGCGCGGGAGCGGAGAGGTGCTGACAGCGAGCCCCATCCCTGCCTCCGGAGCCCCTCGGTCGAACCTGCGGCCACCGCGCCCCCCGCCCTCCTGCCGCAGCAGAGGCACCCCGGAGCCCCGGCCATGGCTGAGGAGTGCCGAGACGAGCGGTTCCTCTACATGATCTCCTGCTTCAGGCCGCGGCTGAAGCAGGTCATCCGTGTGCAGCCGGTGCTGGACCTGCTCCCCTCGCTGAGCGCGGAGGAGAGGGAGAAGGTGCGGGCGGCCGCCGAGCGGCGCGGTGAGGTGGAGGGGGCGGAGGAGCTGCTGCGGGCCGTGGAGCGGGGTCCCCGCGGCTGCGGATGGTTCCACGAGTTCCTGCAGGCGCTGGAGAACGGCGGCTGCAGCCTGGCAGCCTGCTACCTCAACCCCAGCCTCAGCCTCCTGCCCTCGCCCGCCGAGGAGGCCGACCACGACCTCTGCGTGCACTTAGTGCAGCTGCTCCACGGCACACTGGTGGATAAAATGCTGCCCAGGCCGGTGGCTGAGAAGTGCCTAGAGATGGGCATTTTCCAGGAGGACGACCTGGATCGGGTAAGTGGCCCACCTCTCACCACAGACACTGGCCACCGTACCAGGAGCTTTGGGGTATATAGGAAGCCACAACTAGAAATGGCTTTTAAGTGCAAAAATGAAAGGGGAGTACCCAGACTTGGGGGGTAAGAGAAGTGGTGCTCCAATAAGCCAGTGAAGGCTGATGGCAATGTGCCAGCATAGAATCATAGAATGGTTTGGGTTGGAAGGGACCTCAAAGATCATCTAGTTCCAACCCCCCTGCCCTGGGCAGGGACACCTCCACTAGAGCAGGTTGCTCAAAGCCCCAGCCAGCCTGGCCTTGAACACCTCCAGGGATGGGGCATCCACAGCTTCCCTGGGCAACCTGTTCCAGTGTCTCACCACCCTCATAGTAAAAAATTTCTTTCTGATATCTAATCTGAATCTTTTTTCTTCCAATTTAAAACCGTTTCCCCTTGTCCTATCATTACCCTTCCTGGCAAAGAGTCCCTCCCCAGCTCTTCCATAGGCTCCCTTCAGATATTGAAAGGCTGCTATAAGATCTCCCCGGAGCCTTCTCTTCTCCAGGCTGAACAATCCCAACTCCTTCAGCCTGTCCTCATAGGAGAGGTGCTCTATCCCTCTGATCATCTTCGTGGCCCTCCGCTGCACCTGTTCCAGCTGGTCCATGTCCTTTCTGTGTTGAGGACATGTGGGATGCCAGCTAAGAACTAGGGAAAGAAAAACACTGTGACCAGAGAGTTAGATTAAGCCAGTGTCAAAGTGGAAGAAGTATGCCAGCTTTACTGTTACTTATCATTTTGCCACAGACCTTAGACTCGGAAGATCATTAAGTGTCTTCTGCTCCTTGAACCATACCAGGAAGTAGTGGTGACCTGTAAAAAGTCCTGGAGAGTACCTGAGTTAAAATAAAGCAAGACATTTCCTCCCTTTTTTTGCCATAGTTTCACTAAGGAGTATCACACGAGACAGGAAGCTGAGCAGAAATACCAGTTTGATAGAAAAGAGCAAGTGTTAACCTTTGCCAGTGTTTACTCCATTTGGCTAAGAATGACTTGCTGGGACTAGTGTGAAACTTACTTGGAACCCAAACAAATGGATACCCTGAAACAGTGTCAGAAGAAGAAATTAAAATAATACTTGCCATAGCAATAAGGAGAAAACGGTCAAACTAAGGGTGGAGCTACATCATATTTGCACTCTGAGCTTTAGCATCTACTTTTTAGGTAGTTTAATACTTCATCTGAGTTAAATGACAGTCATAGACATAATTTTGTCTTGTGAGTGTCAGGTAGCAGTACCCTTGTACCCTAGGGGATGGGGAGCCTAATACGGTAACACAGCAGGCAGAGGCAGGGGCTGTTTAGGAGGCTACTGGCCCCATTCCCTGGTAACGGGTCCACATGTTCCCCCCTACGTCATCTTTTGCTCCTGGTATTTCCATTAAGCCCTTCATTACCCTTCACAGTCTGGCCAGTTTCAACTCCAACAGTGCCTAAGGCTTTCTTGATGCACTTCCTGTATTCTTGCTTGTTTACCTCTCTCTACTCCCACTTCCTATCTCTTCTGTTAGTGTTCAGTCTCAGTCGGGGATTCCCTCTGCTGTGCCTGCCCATTTTCTTGCATATCAGGCTGGGTGATTCTCAAGCCTCAAGAAAGTTGGCCTTGAGGACTAACCACCTGGTTTGGGCTGCTTTACTTTTGGGATGGTCATTTTGTTCCTCACGTAGTCATATGTCAAATCCTGCTCATGACAAGCTTGGGACACATTTCCATAGCTTCTTTGAAGGCAACAGCCACTTTTTAGAGGCTGAGCTATTGTATCCTGTAGTGGCAATTGAGATGATGAAGCTGGAGTTTATGAAGAGAAATGTTTCATTTTATGTATGAAGTAATGCTTCAGATTCAGTCTGAGCTCTGGTAAGGCGTATGACATCACTTCTCAAGAATCAAGGTTGACTATTCCCTAAACCAGTGTGAACACCAGTATTATTCCACAATAATTATTATAATATAATGATTATTATTACAACCACTATCCAGTACTACCAATCTCTCCAGTTAAGTAAGTTTTATATATCCTACCTGAAACCATATGTCCAACATGAGGTTGGACAAAACTTACTAATTTCCGAAGTCTGTTTCAAGATTGTTTGAGTTTTTGTATTTTCACCAGATTCATACTGTTACTGACAATCGTGGGAACAGAGATGGTGCAAGGGAACTGTTGAGCAGAATAGTGCAGAAGAAAGATTGGTTCTCTCCTTTTTTGGTTGCTTTGCGTGAAACCGAACATGGAAACCTTGCAGATGATTTAAATGGAATTACAGGAGGTAATCATCTTATTTCCTTAGTACTAATGTGTGGTGTTTTAATATCTCTTTTTTGTATTGCTAATTAGAAAACAATGCAGGGTTCTCACCATATTGATTTTGCTGTGACACTGAAACCAATGCTTTCACTTGTCCAGAGATTTAAAAATCAAGCTATTTTACAGGTTATTCAATAGATTCTTAAACACTAAAAATCCTTATTAAGCAATATCAGAAATACAATACTGTGTATGTAGTTATAATTAAACCGAATCCTTACCCTTTATAACCCATTAGTTTTCAATGTTTTTCTAATCATTCATAAAAAATATTCTGAAGATTAATTTGAACAAACAAGGCAAACCTTTTCTGGATTTCTCCTTCAACACAAGGATTAGTGTTACCTCAGCAGCTACTGTGGTCCTAATTTTCATTTTGTGTTGCAGCTTTCTCAGACTTAAATTCTTGTCTTTGTTGCTTTGCTATCAGTAATGTAAACAAAGTAATAAATACTTGGGAAATATGCAAATTATTAGAATTCTTTACATACTTTTATTTTCAATTCTTTTCACACTTTGCATTTCTGAATTTTTTTGTATAGTGCAGAACTTAAAGGGTAAAACTTAATTCAGTTGTTTGATGCATGAATGAATGCATTTATTACACAGTTTCTCAGTAAACTTGGGCAATGCAGGCCCCCAAAACCCCAGATAAATATGTAAAGCATAAATTGTGTTGCTCTTATGACAGGATAAGAAATTTTCCATGTACAAAGTCACGTACACGTGTAGACATGTAAAGTGTTTGATTGCTGGAGCTGCTATTGATAAAAGGCCATAGGCAGGAAACATGAAGAACAGGCTCATTGGGTACCTTGGAAGGAGAAGAGTGGTGCTACACTTTATCACTCCAGGTTGATCCCTAGTGATTTGATACAGTAAAATACATTGTTATTAGCAGACACCTGCACACAGAAATTGAGAACTTTATAAAAAATAAATCTTGAAATAAATCTACTAAGTGCAGAGTAATTGAGTACCAAATCTGAAAAACCCTGGAATGCAGTCACAGAGTCATGGAATCAAAGAATGGTAGGGATTGGAAGGGACCTTTGGAGATCATCTTATCCAAACCACCTGCCAAAGCAGGTTCACCTAGAGCAGGCCGGACAGGAACACATCCAGGCGGGTTTTGAGTATCTCCAGAGAAGGAGACTCCACGATCTCTTTGGGCAGCCTGTTCCAGGGCTCTGCTACCCTCAAAGAAGTTTTTCTGCATATTCAGATGGAATTTCCTGTGTTCCAGTTTGTGTTTGTTGTTCCTTGTCCTGTTGCTGGGTACCACTGAGAAGAGCCTGACCCCATCTTCTTACACCCACCCTTTAGATATTTATAAACATTATAAATTTATAAGCATTCCCTCTCAGTTTTCTCTTCTCCAGGCTAAACAGAACCCAGGTCTCTCAGCCTTTGCTCCTAAGAGAAGTGCTCCATGCCCTTGATCATCTTTGTAGTCCTCTGCTGGCCTCTTTCCAGTAGTTCCCTGTCCTTCCTGAACTGGAGTGCCCAGAACTGGACACAGTACTCCAGATGTGGCCTCATCAGAGCACAGTAGAGGGGAAGGATAACCTCCCTCCACCTGCTGGCCACATTCTTTTTAATGCATTCCAGGAGACCATTGGCCACCTTGGCCACAAGGGCACATTGGCTCATGACCAACTGTTGTCCATCCAGACTCCCAGGTCCCTCTCTGCAGAGCTGCAGCCTGTCCATGTATTGAACAGCATTTTTTTTTGCCTTTTGAGCATGCCTAGTTCTACATGAGTCTAATAAAAATTAAAGAACAAAGAAGCCAGAGAGAAATTATTTCTGTATTTGAAATAAGACAAAGTAGTGGAAGGAGGGAAAACATTTTGTGAAAGATCTCTCGGGCTTTCTGTTTTGTGAGCAAATTTTGAAGTCCTGCTGGAAGGTACATCCATTTATAAGCATGCAGGCCCAATGGCATTGACGAGGTAGGAAACATGGTCTAGTCCACAAGTTCAGTTTTCAGATCTTTGAGATTTATGATTGACAACTTTCTTAATAAGTACTTATAAAAGCATTAAAATGCCAAACTACAAAGCAAGACGAAGACTTTATGTTACGCTGTTATGTGCATGATGTATACAGGTTAGTTTTATGTTTTCTATGCTCCACGCTGAAAGAAGTTAAATGTTTTATAGTGCTGTGGAATTTCTATTTATTTTCTAGGAACAGAGAATAGACAAAATGGGATGAACAATACAAATGAAGAAACAGAAGTTACAAGCCAACCAGGACATGCCGCAGTGGAGGATTTGAAACAGCAAGAAAATGTGAATGATGGTTTCAGCAGTGAGAACACTGCATTGGAAACATCTATTGGAAACAATTCTGTAGTTCCAGGTAGCCACTAACTGATATTTTGTGCTGGTACCAGTTAGACTTTAGTAACTGTAAGTAACTGAGAGAACATAGTGGTGCATTAGCTCCCACCTTGCACAAAAATTCGGGAACGTATGGGACTGTCAAGATGAAGGGAATGAATGGAAGAAGTAAATCTTGATTTTTTTGGAAGCAGTGAATTCCATTTCTTGCTGTGAATTAACTGCAGTAGCAATTTGAAGGGTCAGATCTACAAATTTGTGAAGTTCAAATTGTTGCTCTAGGATAAGAACATGTTGTCATACTCAAACTAATTAATCTGTAGGGTAAGAGCTGGTTCAGAAACCAATTTGCTAGTACAGTGCAGAATGGCTTAGGAGGACATGGCCAAAAAATCTGTAGCACACTATTTGCAGCCTTTGTGTAGACTTTTTTTGCATCCTGGTTGTAGTGATGATGTTTTTATCTTCTATGGCCTGCTTTATTTTCTTATAAGTAAGCAACATTAATGACCTTCCTTTCCTCTTATATAGCACTTTTAACAAATTCATATTATTATATTTTAATTTACAGGGCAAAGAAATAAGTAAATTTCAAACATATTTAATGTTTTAATTAAAAATATTAATATTATTAAATGAATACTTTATTTCAGACCTATTCGTAGTAGGTTTATATTATCCAATGAAAACATTAGGTTTCCATTGACAACTCCTTCTAGTGCTGACAATTTAAATCAAGAGGAATGTTTCTGTACCACTATAATTGCAGATGTATTAAGTACTTCTTTCTAGAAGGCTAGTAATTCTATATTGGAAAACATTTCTGGTTTTAAGTCCTTTAGAGCTGTCCAACAAGTAATTTTTCTGTTTGTTCCGAAGATTCATATTTACAGAGCATCAAACAACCTTTGTCACTTACATCACATGCTCAGAAGTACTTTTTTAGTACAAATTTTTAGAAATTGTGGCCTGTTGTTCATATGGATCTACTTTTAAAAACATGCCTTGGGAGTTGATCATGAGCAACAGCAATTACCAGCAACAATTTGCAGACATAGCTGAGAACCAATGATTCAAACATATGCTGTATGGTTAAGGAACTATTCATATGTGTTACAAGTTCAGATGGAGCTCAAACAATAGTTACAACTGAGATAAATCCTTACTTAGCCAAAGGAGTAAGACAGCTAAGGCTGCTCTTTTTTTTTTTTTTTTTTTTTTTTAAAAAAAAAAAAAAAAAAAAAAAAAAAAATTTGTTTAAAAACAACACCTT